TCCAGTAGAAGTTTGAAACTTTCACCATCTATAGCAGATGATTAGCTCTACAGATGCTGAAAGTCTTATTGAAATTGCCCCGAATTTAACTTTTTTCCGGTTGGTAAATGTTATTCTCAATTGCGCTGTATCTTTTTAAAATTCGCATCATCCAAACGAGCCCGAGAATAAATCTGATATTTTCCTATCTGTAGAAAACATTTAGCTGTATACAGGGTGACTCAAAATTGGCGCCATTCCTTTTAAGGGTATATAAAGAGTACAAGAAAAATATTTAAAAAAAAATTCTAAAATTTCAAGAAGATTTTAATAGTTGAAGATCGAATTTCAACTTTGTTATTAAGCATTATTTTTAAGAGGTCCCTCGTTTGATTGGAAGTACTTTAGCATTCGAAAATAAAAATTACGACCTTGTTGTCAAATTACTAAAATTTTTGATATTAARGAAGTACTCTTCTACAATTTTTTGATGAAAAGTCAACGCGGCAATGATGTTTTTTGTCATTAACAGAAGTGACAGGTAGACAGCCCTTGTCAATAATGTAAAATGTAARTCAACARCGAATTTGCGAATATGCGATTAGTCATGGGACTATWACATTGTTGCCATCCTTCTGATCTAGTTTTTTGCAAAAATCTGAGTTTTAAATAACATTTAATTTCTTTTACTACTTTCTCTGTACTCCCAAGACACTTCCAGAGGAATAACGCCAATTTTCAGTCACCCTGTATTTCCCCATCTGTTAAAACACAGGTTACTCTGTAGCTTCCAGTCCAAGTAAATGGATCACCCTGTATCTGCAAAACTAATTAACAAATACAGGGAGTTTTCTCAAATTAATTTTTTTCTTCCAGCATAAATGCGTATCGAGTGTTGTCGCATTATGTGCCCAAGCTATTAACAGTGTGGCAAATTTAAATGATTACATTTGCTTTAAAAATTAGATTGCACTATGATTGGCAAGCGTTGATTGACTCGCAAATTTAACATATCTGTGCAGAAAGCGCAATTCATGCCAATGAATAGAGTTTATATATTTTGCATTAAACTAGAAATTGCATGAAGAAAATATGTAGTTCTGATATTTCGCAAGCAATCGCGGCTTGCATCTTCAGAGGTGGCATTCAACCAGCAAATCCTTTGCTGTTTTTTACTTTATTGCAATTGTATTGAATTTTTAATTTCGAGTTTTCCCTTTTTTTACCCTCCCGTTCACGACAGAAATAATGTGAGAAAGTCCGCAACACTCTGTAACATCTGTGAACAATTCAATGAACTGGATAACACTTGAGTCAGCGCTTAAAACAGAACACTTTTCTCTAAACCACTAGAATGGCGAATGCTCTTATGCGAATCAATTACGACTGAATATTAATTTAAAACTACAAAAACAGAGTTCGCTAGTTGCAAAACCAGGGGCCCAAATGCATTTACATCATTCACGATTAATAGAAGAAAGCAACTTTTACATGCGAATCTCCGCAAAAAATCCACCTGATTTGCCACATTGGAGCTATTCTTCACAAGCAAAAATGTCCGAATAATTGACTAAGTCTGCAGGTTTAACTCTCTACAAAACAAAATATCCCACCCAAAAGAATAAACAATTTATTAAAAAAATTGAATTCACTCACTTTACTCTTTAATCAAATAATCAACTAGAAATACATGAATAAACTAAACCAAAGTTTCAATCGAACTGAAAATCCTTGTAATGTTCAAAAGCACCATCGAAATGTCCACTACCATAATCAAACCCGCCATAATGCTCATCCGCAGGTGGATAAAACGGAACAGCCGCATGAGGAACATGATGTGGATGGAATTCCACATGTTGAGCACAAGGAGGAGGATAAAGAGCCTGATGATGATGATGAAAATATACATCGGGTTCATGATGGAAGTACGGCTCCTGATGGTGATAATCCTGATAAGGGCCGAAGGAGTAACGAAAATGTTTGCCTTTGGGGTGTTTGGACTTTTTTCCTCCTCCAGTGAATAGCTGGCCGATTGGGTCGACAACACTTCCAGTAAATAAGCCCTTTAGGGCGTAATCCACAAATGGTTCCACCACGGTTTTGTAGATTTTATTCGGCCGCAGTTTATGGAAAGTAGCCGCCGATGCGGACACAAACGCAAGAAAGATCTGAAAATATTGGAATTTAAATCATTAACATCAGACCACAACTCGAATGAAACTGATCGAGTTTTCCGGACTTTAAGGGGGAAAACTCGCCACAAAATGGCTGAAAAGTTGACCTTTTGCGACTGTTGCTTAACAAATAATTTCCTTCGACTGCCTAAAGCCTTGGAAAAACCTCACCAGCTTCAAGCCAAATTCTGTTAACAAGCGAAATACTCACAAAAATTCTCATAGTGATTAGCAACACTTCAAAAAAATCTAGCTTATAAACACATTGTCGATGAACAGTAAAAAATGGATTGTTTGCTTGGCCAAAACTCAATTTCTTTTATATGGGTACCAACGTGCAATTTGCCCGCATCGGTTTCTAAACGTATTATTTTCCTTAAGTATTGAAATTAGCGGTCTTTTATGTAAAAAAAAATTAACAAATATCAAGTGGATAAACTTGTCACTTCCTCATACAAATCACTACCTAAGCTATTTTCTAGGCTCCTTTGAATTTGCCTAGTCGCATGAAAAGAGCGTCTAATTGCTTTCCCATGCAAGAATGGGCAAATGAAAGTCTTCTTCAGTACTTCAGTGACATTCTTAAAAAAAAAACTCTTGAAATTTCTATTCTCTTCTGCGCGATCTTTGAGTCCTGGTGAACCTTCAGTCGCAATGGTTTTAATTTATGCTTTAAAGCTCAATTTAGTTTTTTGCGAACGGGAGTTTTTGCTCAAATGCACAGTCTTTTTTGAAAATTGGCAACGTTCCATCCAGAGCACGCGCCAACTGAAAACTCGCACACCCTATAAAATACACTTTGCTCTAAAAGGGCTGGGAAATTTTTTCATATTTTTTAAATTTTCCGGAAAACTTTAAAAAGTCACGCACTCGACAGAAGAGATTTGCCTCCAAAACTCGTGATAGTTTCATTTTCTCTTTAAAATCTGAATCGCGCACGCCTTGTAGACGAACGAGTGAAAATCGCAATTTTCGCCCAAATGCACGCTCTTCTATAAAAATTTGTAACTTTGCATCTCGAGCAGACACGATTTGGAAACTTTCACATTTGATAGGATAAAATTGGCTCTGAAACTCCTGAGAATTTGATTTCAATTGCCTGAAAATCGGACTTCTGCGCGTTATGCAAATACAGGTACAGTAATGGGAGTTTTATTGCGTTCGGTTCTTCAGTGAGTAAAAAAGAAGATAAAACGGTTCATCGTAGCCACTAAAAATTGCTGCTGTTGGGTGGGAAAGAAGCTCCTCAGGTAGCCCTCCAAGGGAAGAGTTTGTAGCTTCACCGGAACACCCCTGAAAAGCAAGAAGTGACTGATGGCAATAACACCGATGGTAATTATCAATATGTGTTACTTGTCGCCCTCATTTGGCTATTAATGGCGTGAAATATATAAAGCTGCCATCAAATTATAGCTTTTTCCATTCCGCACACTGTTTATTTGAAACGTTTTTCGGCAAAATGCCGTGTTCGGTCACAATTAGGGTTTTTTGGGAGATTTTAAGACATTTTATTTTCGCTCTTGCGTGCCTCACGATAACTGAAAAAAAACTCAAAAAAGTGCTCAAATTGTAGCTTATGCCTTTCGTCACACTTTTTATTTCAAATATTTTTTGAAAAAAAGCCGTTTTTTGCCAAAATCGAGAATTGGCAGACCTACGTGTGGAAATAGAAGTTTTCGCTCAAATGCACTCTTCTTTCTCTCTCTCTTTTCTCAAATTCACCTTCTTTAAAAATTCGATTAAAAATTCAATTTTTAATCTCCAGCAGAAACCGTCGTGAAACTCGCAAGGCCTAGAGAGGACGCTTGGGTTTAAAAATTATTTTTTAGAGAAAGAGCTTAATTTGCGTCGCCTTAAAATCTAATTCGTCCTCGCTATGTAAATCACGTGTGATTTTCGCTCAAATATACGCTCTTTTTTAAAAAATCGCAACTTCCCATCCAGAGCTTGCACCATCTTGAAATTCGCACACCCTATAGAACACACTTCGTTCTACAAATTCTGAAAGGTTCATTTAAATCGTGTCAGAATCAAAAACTAAACATCGACGTTTGAAACATGAGAAGAAATAACACATCAGCTACAAGAAAAACGTAATAAACTTGAACAATATACCAACCATAAAGCTATAATTAAATTGACTCGATTGCCTCAGTGGTCGATTTTCCCATAACTGCCACCCATAACATTTAAAACCTATAGATGCATAAAAACCCACTGTTATTGTGGTCTAATGTAGATCAAGAGCGGCCGCATAAATTATTGCAGTCGAAGACGTTTTTTCCTGCAGACAACCATTGAAAGGAAGTTAATTAGAAAAAAATTAATAAATTACCGGCCTGTTACGTTATGCGGTTTAAATTGGCATGTAACCGCTCAGAACACGAAGATTTAATTTATATGAGGTGATTAAGCATGAATAATTTTACTGTCTTCAGCTGGATTGGGAAATTGAAATCTGCATACATTCCGGGATTAATTGGAAATGAGTTGGCATACCCACACATCAGAGAATAGCTGTTGCAACCTGTTTTTTTACTAAGTGTGCTTATTGAAATGTTGTTCAACACTACAATCCTTCGGTCCACGTTTCAATCCAAAGTCCTTAAATATTGAGCTGGTTCAACAAACCATTGCACTTAAAATTCGCAGAAAAACTTGCTGCCATTTCAGCCTGCACGTAAAACCGCATAATTGACCAATTAAGCGTATACAGTTAAATAGAAGGTTTGAAGATATAAACCTTAGAAATACAACGTTGTTGGTGCATAGTTAGCTGGTTAAATCATAGATTCATAAATCTACTATTCCGTATATTCCATATTGCTCGATTTATGTGGTCTAAAACAGCCCAGCCGGTTTCTTCTGGGCCATTAAGTTGGAAGCAGGTGTGTCACTATTCCTCGATCTAGTCTTAAGGGTATTACGTAATGGAGCAACGTTTACGTAGTGAGATTCTGCACATTTGATTGCACCAACAGTCGAATAACATGAATGTTCTTAATTCGTTTCGAAAAAAACGTCGCTGAATTAATGCGTTCAACTTGAAGAAAACGCCGCTAGTACGTTCAAAAGTCGCCTAAAATAGGCGTGAGAAGTATTCTTGTTCACGCTTATCAGCAGTTCTGCTTAAAAATTCATTAATTTTCCTGTTAAAACTGCACATTATGTTAATCGGAAGAATTCAAAGCTTCAAATTATTAGGCCACCGCCAATATAAGTCAGAAATATGTCAACACCGTCGTTCCGCTCTTTAACGTGATGCTTATTAACGTTACCGCTACTCGGACGTAAATAAGGGAACACGTTATCCTCTAATAACGTAAACGGTTATTTCTTTACTATGGCGCATGCTCAGAATAGCGGATAACGTAAAGCGTGTTGCAATTACGGGGCCCAAAACCTCCCTAGTATGGATTTGGTCCTGACGTTTCGGTAACACGCATGGATCCATTATTAGGATCCGGAAGTTATTAAAGAAACTTTAGAAGAAAGTAATCGACAAACCGTCGATGTTTTCGCCGTAAAATCAGTCAGAAGACAACGAATTATGCTGTTGGAAGAAGATCTACAAGTGAATAGCTACACAACACAACACCTGAGAGTTTCTAGGCGAAGTTGTGGAAGTTTCTATAGCAAGTTTCGCATTTTGTGCGTTTTGCATTACTTGAGTGGGTAGGAGTTTCAACGTGGCAAACGCCTCAGCAAAAGCCTCTGATTGCCTCAATTTGAGACTGAAACTTCCGGACAGCATACAGTATAGTTTCTGTTCAAAGCTGGTGAAACTTCCAGATTTTAGCGCGCCAAAGTTGAAAATTGTTTTTGAGTAAGTGGAAATATCAACGTTGCAACTTGCCTTTGAAAACTGTTTACTTGCCTCAATTTTGCGTCAATTTCTCTGAAACTTACATTAAGAAGAGCCTGGTTTAAGCGTTACTAAATTTAGACAGCTGAAGTTCCGGAAATTGCCTTTGAGTGAGAAGAATTTTTATTTTTTGCAAGTTCTCCACTCCCTCAAACGCAGCTGCTTGCCTGCTTTTTCCTGAATTTATGTAGTACTTTCAACGCGCAAAGAGTATAATTTGAGTTCAAACATAGAGAAACTGCATAAGCCGCTCGATTTAGCCGTGAAGAATTTTTGAATATTGCCCTTGAGTGAGAGGAGGTTTCAACTTTTCCACACTATCTGCTTCTCTGTAATTTTTTCAAACTGAAACTTCTACTGAAAACCCGAGTTTTTCACAAACCCGTCAAGAAAAAACCAAAAATTCCTGAGTCCGGCCCGCACTTGAAAAAGAGAAAATGGGCTGCTTTAAGTGAGGAAAAACTCACTTGTATAGGAAATTTCTGCGTGTTCCCAGAATTTGTTCGGATACTAAAGCGAAGCGGTTGGTCGTTGGACAACACGGATTTTTCAAAAACTCGCCAAGAAAAAACCAACAATTTTTCAACTTTGCCCATAATATAATTCGAAAGAGAAAGTCCGCGACTTTCAGTGGGAAAAACCCACTTTAATCGGAAGTTTATGAGAGTTTCTCCAGGATTTTTTGAGTTACCAAGGTGAGGCGATTGGCCGTTGGTAAACACGGATTTTTCAAAAATTTGTCAAGAAAAAACGAAAAATCCTCAAGACTGTCCATCATATCTCTCAAAAGAGGAACTCCGCAGCTTTAAGTGAGGAAAAGGAAAAACTCACTTTAATAGGAAATTTCTGCCATTCCAGAATGTTTTAATTTACTAAAGCGAGGCGAGGATTTTTGATGAATTTGGCAARAAAAAGCCGAAAATCCCACAATCCCGCTCATAATATYACTAGAAAGAGGAGAAAGGCTGCTTTAAGTGTGGAWAAACGCGCGTTAATGGRAAATTTCTGGGAGTTTCCAGAAACCCAGAACTACCACGCCACTAACGCCACGTAGTTAAAATAACCGGAGTTTTTSAAAATTACACTATTAAAAAAATMTGSTTGAATTTTCAGTCAAATGTAACTGAAGTTTCCACACAAGTAACTGAAMATTCAGATACTTGTTATTGAAAATACAAATGACTTTTAGTAAAAAAGCAGAAGAAGAATTAGGTTATTTTATATTGCCACTGTCATAAGCCTKTCTGGCATTTGTCACGTAACTGWCGAAAGAATAATAAATAATTCGTCCGWTSTAGTACGAACTGACAGATACCTGCAAATAGGTTAAGATCTGAAATCTTTTCAGTTSCATGTTATTGAATTTTGGATTTTCATTAAGAATACTGAAAATTCAATCAAAATGTACATTAATTTATTTTCAACAACCAAAAACTGAATTTTCAGTTACAAAAGTTACTGAAGAGTAACTGAATTTTCTACTCATTTTAAACAGTGTACCTTTGCGTTAGCGGGCATGTCAACTTAGGAAGTTTTCTTTCAAAAGTCTCTGCTTGCCTCCATGTTGGCTCAATTTCCAGGAAACTTCAGGAAAACTTCCAGTGTGTGCGAGAYTTAGWCTGAAMGGTGAGAATTTTTCAAAATTGCTTTTGAGTGGATGAAAATTTCAACGTTGCCATCTTCCCTTCAAAAATCCCTGTTCTCCCCATTTAGTAGTGAAATTTTCGGAAAGCAGAGAGTATAGTTTTTGCTCGAAAACTGGTGAAACTTTCGGGTTAGGCGCCGCAAAATTTGCACAACTYGATTTTTTTAAATTGCARAACCACGTTTCTGTTCATGACAGAACAATCATTCTAAAACCGCCAAATATTGCCCGAAAAGCCCTCAATRTTTCAATTYGCCGTTCAGAACCGACCATTTGATCTCCAWATAATTAATTTTTCTGATTAACCCTKGTAGWTTCATGCATTTATTAGACAATTCATTGCGTMAGACTCTGCAATCTCATCCATTAAAATTTCAAAAAATTACCAAAATTCCCACGAAAACCCCCACATTAATGGGCATATCGCATGGCAGAAATTGCGAAAACWAAACTGCACTTCACAGCCTGGGTGTGGCCCAAAACAGTGGTTGATTGCCGGCAAACCGATCACCGATAGGCGAAAGTTAGGCGAACAATTAAAAAATCTCACGATGCACACAATGTAAATCTAGATGTAGTGTTTTCAAAATCTCCATGAAACTTGACAGGCTTCGAGTTGCACGTGCTTCAGAAACAATGGATTATTTATTGAGTAATATGTGGGTTATGCTTCAATTTTTCACATTTCAAACGTGTTTGTTACCGGACTGTTGCCTACATAACTTGTTATGGATATTATTCGATGAGTTTACAAGGTCTAAAGAAAGTCTTTGATGGCCGACTTAGATGACGCACTATGGCAATTCATCGAAAGAATCTGGTTAAAAGCTCCCAACTTAAAAATTTGCTTGTTCTTGCAATTAGGTTTTTTTTTTATCTATGCACATCTGCATGCCTCAGAAGCAGGTGATTGGAAGCATCCGAATCCTTCTTGAGGAAAATCAAATCGTTTTTTCAAACTGGATCCTAATGGACGTCTTTTCAATGAACATGTTGGCTTAATGTTGTTTTTTCTTAATGTAAAGCACTGGCGATTTCAACATTGGAAGAAATCAAGACACACTTCCATTCCAAGATTGGCTTTATCGCATTAAATCGGCTTTGGCGGAATAAAACTGAATTTTTGTCGCCATTGATCAGCAGACTGGTCTAGTTCTGGCTAATGGCCCTGTTAGTTCATGCGAAATAGCGCCCATAAAAATGCCTGGTTTGTTTCAAAATCGCTGCGGTTGCAGGTGGAAAATAAATCTGATTCTATAGCATGGCCATCTATACAGAGTGTTGTCCCCGTTCTTAGTCATCGACAATTAAATGATCACTAATCGAGTTGAATGAACAGCCAATTAAAGCCGGATTGATCCACAATCTATCGGTAATATTGGTAGACAATTGTAGCCTTGCATGTTCTTAATCTTGATTCAGACAAGGAACTCAGCAATGACATAACAATTGCCGGTTTTAGTCGAGTTGAGATTTTATTTTTAGCAATCGTATGCGTACAGCCAAAACGAGGCCACTGAGACTATCTGTTTTGTGGACGGACAGGCCCCTTGGGCAAGCAAAAAACTTATGTAACTTTTCAGATTTTTCAATCGCTACATTTCTGTAAAAATTTCCAAAATTCCATCTGTGTCTTAAGTGAAAGACCTGAAAATGCAAGACTCAATTATAAAATCCCAGTCCAGTTTCAAAGCTGAAAGCTTAGAATCCATAGGCGGGGAACGCAAGACATGCCAGAATTTGCTTGTGATTTTCCGATTATTAGATTTAGATTAGTCGTCTTATTAGATTAGATTAGAGGAATGTCTTGGAATGAAGCAAAGATTCTACATTTTAGAGCACAGACTTTGCAAAAAATTTGAACCGAATCGACATTTTGAAGGGGAACATGCAAAGATGAAACTTTCTCTCACTACAAGGCAATTTTCAAAAATTGAGCATAATGAATTGAGCGGCGCATTCCTCCGTCTTGGAGCCGAACTTATGCGCTATGATTCCGGGAAGTTTCAATCAAATTGGAGTATTTGCTTGCTAGGTAGAAATTCCCGCAAAAGCAAAGGCAATTTTGAAAAATTGCCGCTATTTGAACCGCGTGGTGCCCAACCCGAAAGTTTCACCAGTTTTGGGCACAAACTATGCTCTCTACTTGTCGTAAGTTCCGCTTAAACTGGCAATAAAATGAGGTAAGCAAGTTTCGCTTAAACTGGGAATAAAATGAGGTAAGCAAAGCAGAGACTTTTGAATGGAAGTTTGCAAAGTTGAAATGCCCACGTTTGTTTCGCTGTCGAACCCAACTGGCACAGACTCCTAAAGTACGCTAATTTTTAGCAGCTGGTGCTCTCTACGATTGTCGGAAGTTCGACTGAAGTTGAGGGAAAATTGAGGGGAACAGTGCGTTTTGAACTGGATTGAAAAAATTCAAGTTTTCTCAAAATGTCTTAAATTTGACCATATTTTCAGCTCCCAGACGCAAAAAATGCATCGAACTGATTAAAAAACAAGCTAGAAGGTTCAGATAATACACACTTACCTTGGCCGCCCTGTAGAATGCTCTTGTTTTCCAATACAGCGGGTCTCAATTTGAAAACTTTCCACACTAAAATCCTGCCAACGATTTAAGTCGCAAAAATCGCCAACATTTCCTTTACAATCGCGAATTTTCTAGTTTAAAGTCACATTTTCGCGTCCTTCAATCCTTCGACACGCAATTTTAACAAATAAGACACTTTTTCCAAAACGAACGTGTAAAAATAGGTTAATTTAAAACTTCAATTGCAATAAATACTGCTTTATTGACAACGAATTTCAAAGTTGATGTGTTTGTTTTTACCCGTTGCCATGGTACATGTGTTGTATTCAAAGGGTCGACAAGCGATTGGTCGATCAGGTTTACGTGTTTCCGGAAACGCGCGTCATCAGAGGCGGTTTCTAGGCAACGAAGGTTGTTGATTTCTTCTAATCAGTGGCGAAGTACTGATTTTGTGCCGAAAATATTCCTTGTGGACGAAATTAATCATTGACGAATGGGTGTGAGGGAAATTTTGATTTTTGTCCGAAATATTTTTTCAAAATGTCTCAAATTTTACGTTTCGAACTCATTGAAAAGCATGGTAGAAATTTCCGATCCGAACTAATAGACATTTTCGGCACACTTTAAGCATTTTTTTAGCGTTCACGATCTTTAGCCGACGATTTCTTCCTCATTTTTGATCCAAACACTTTATAAATGCATATTTCTGAACTTCTTACGTCGAAATGAACAGTTTGGGCTCAAAAAACACACACAAATTTTGATTTGTGACCGAAATTTTTCTAAGGATGGAGGTCGATTTTTTGAAAAAATTAAAATTTTCTTCCCACTCACTCTAAAGCGGTTTTCGAAAATTTCCATTGACTAAAGTGAACGGTGCAAAATCCGGAAGTTTGCCGATTTTTAAGCAGAAACTCTATTCAGTGCTGGGCGGACGTGTTCGACTTAAATTGAGGAAAAAATGGGGCAAGCAGGAGCTTTTGCATGCTCGCCCTGCAAACCTCAAACGCCCACTCACTTAAAGGCAATTTTCAAAATTCCCACTGTCGATATTAAGTGTTTTTGGACCATCGGAAGTCGATAGGAATTGGGTCCTAACGTTTCGCTAGCACCCATGACTACCACCTTCAGGGCTGTGTCATCTGAAGCGAACAAACCTCGAAAAAAACAGTTTCATTAACCCGGCCCGAAATCCAAAAGTTTCTTCCAGGAAAGCCTGAACTTTTTCAACTGGTGCTTCGGAAGCGATTATTTCAAATTGAAGCAAAAAAACGCCAATTGATACACGATCCATTACGTCCATACCCAGAAAAAAAGAACTTTCTACTTAATATGCCAGTTCATAATACAGCTTCTCTCCTGCTCATATAATGTTGTGTATGTAATTTTTCATTTTCCGCATTATCAGCAAATTGTATCCAATGTGTGTGACACAATTAAAGGTATAATTCATTAGATCTCTGAGTTCCTGCTTTTGGGTTTACTGAACAGACGTGGCTTGAACGATTGCATCGGATAAGAAATTCGTTAACAAACTTAACAGCGAATGCAGGCAAGTGCAAGTCATTAAAAATCTTTTTACCTAATAATTAATTGAATTTTTGCGCAGTTTTGGCCTAAAAATGTACTTCGAAAGCCCCAAATGACTTGTTAACTGCAATCGGTCGAATGCTCTTAATCTTGAACACCTTAGCAATTATGAAACCAAATGTTTCACACACTTGAAAGAAGCCTGAAAATCAAGGCAAATTTTCCAGTGACCCAGTGAAGGATTCACAAAAGATATTTTTACGTAATTGAATAATAAAAGAGCTCATTGTTGCGTACAACGGTCAATGTTGCATTCACAAGCTGGTCAATTCTTCAATTGTTGCTAAAGTTGTAGGCAGTTGTTGTTCTGCACCGATCAAATCGATTCATTTATTTTTTAATGAAAAGTTTTCATCAATAAATTGATCAGCAGTTTTAAATTAGACGAGATCACTCAGATTTGGCTTCTGATTGTAAAACAAAGAGCTGAAAGGACAAAACCCCGAGTTGTTCACATTTCGGCCACTCAACATCGGGCCATTATGCAAGAAATGTTACCAACGATTTCAAAAAACAATTAACATCTCAATAAAATGAAACAGGCGGGTAAAAGTACACCAACCTTGTCTCAGGTTTTTGCCAAATAACTAAAAGAAACGGCCTTCCAACGTGGTAACATCCTGTAGAAGAAAATCGCTCGCAAAATTAATCACTTTGTTGAATCGATCTCGCCCATTTGCGCAATATCGGTTCAATCAAAACTTATTATTGCATAATTCGAATAATTTGGTTTTGAGATGACCTGCTGCTATTGAGTCTTCCATTCAATGCTGACGCCCTTCACTTCATTGGCGTCCAAAATCCAATAAGGTTTTTCGTCATTTAATATCATCAAAAAAAAACAACCGAAAAATTGGTTTTCTTGTCGATTTGAAGCTGATTTTGGCTTCAAACGCCAGAAAAACTCACCAGTTTCAATTGCAAAAATGATTAAAGGAATCGGGATTTTACCTTACTAAGCCCCAGTTTCAGTTCAAAGGTTTAAAAGATTATTTTTTAAATTTCATTGCTAGTTTTCAACTTATTACTCCAATGCGTCTAAATGCATTTCGCTTCCAATTTAAATATTATTTGGGGAAAAAATGCCTATTTAGATTATAATGTGGACAGAGAACAAGACGATTTTTCTTGGGGTCTTCACGGCGGAAAACCGAGTGGTTCGGTCTGAAAAATAGCAAAAATCATCTCCTAGTGATGGATAAAAGATATTGATTTAAGTCATTAACATGCCAAGACAGAGGAACTGCAGCAAAATCAAATATAGAGGACAAAAGACGCTGGTAAAATCAGAAAATATCAAACTTGCAAGTGAAATATAACTGTATTATTATGAACAGCTTAACTGCAAAAATTGACCCAGTTAATGAAAAGGCAATTTTTTCATCAGCACAAGAGCTTAATCATACTAAGCTGAACCGAACCTTGGCTGCGCCACTGGCCATGTACTGATATTCGAGTTTTAGCGATATTTTTCGTGATCGCATTAAGAAATTCAGCATATGTCATAAAAGTAAAGCACAGGAATTAAAAGGCGACTTGCCACCACTTTTGTTCATAATTATAAATAGTCAGCGAGGGAAGGAATCGGTATCAGTTGATTCAAACTACTTGCCTAAAAATGAAGTTCTTGGTAAGTACTGAGTAGCTGTTTTAGGTGCTGACCGTATATTTTTGGGCGGATTTTATCAGTATTCATACGCTTAAATTTTAGTGGATTTTTCTATCTACCGACTTTTAAACAGTTTTTTTTGTGTCAAACTGGATGCCCAAAACATTTTTTTGTATTAATACTTCTCACTCTTTCATATTTTCTGTCCTCCAACATTATTTACTTCAGTCTTGAAAACGAAATAACTTTAAAAAATCGCCCAACATTGGTTTATTTGGCGGGATCGAAAGGGTGTAAAGTTAATGCAATTTTCTTAATTTTCAATAATTCCTGGCCATTCTGAGCATTGATTTTTCATTAAAGTGTTTAAACTCTTTGCTGTTTTTCATATTTCAACATTTTCTACTTCCGTTCTTAAAGCAAGCCAATAACTTATTCAACATTAGATTATTCGCAAAAATTGAAAAAGTGCAAAATCAATGTAAATTCGCAATTATGTCTTAATTTTCAACAATTTCTGTCAATCTCTTGGTTTTTCCATAAAATATTAATCTCTGGTTATAATTTCTTATGTTCGAACATTGTTTGCTTCAGTTCTTAGACAAGATTGAAAAAAGCGCAAAATCAATGCAATTTCGCAATTGTGCTCTAATTTTCAATAATTCCTCACAATCTCTGAACATGAATTTTTCATTAAAATATTAGTCATTTATGTATTCCATCGGCTTTATCAGGAAAAAGTGATGAATTGGGTCTAATTTTACGGACACTTTAAATTAATTTCCCCAACTAATAAATGTGTGACAAAAAATGGTTACACAAAGCAAGCTTTAATTTTCTCTGTCTATTCTTAGCATTTAGTCATAGTTTTCTTGGTGCGATTGTTTAAATATTTTCCTGACTATCAGACTATGAAGGCTCTCACGGCCGGTCAAATCAAATATAGAAATGATTTTCAATTCTTCCTGACGTTTCGTCCACAACTGCGGTGGACATTATCAAAGACGATGAGGCAGTGGGCGAAGTGATCTCCCGTGCTTACCGACTAAGACGGAACTGTCTTACGTCACAAACGTCAGACTTTCCGACTAAGACGGAACTGTCTGACGTTTGTGACGTAAGACAGTTCCGTCTTAGTCGGTAAGCACGGGAGATCACTTCGAAATAAGAAATTCCCATGGACCACRGCTTCAAAGCCCGAAAAACAYTTCTATATGTGATTTTCCTGATTGTACTTATGTTTCAAAATTGATTTAACGCAGAAATTTTCSATACATTTTTATTTTTAAATATTGCACACATTCAGGAATAATAAAATGAAAATGATAGACAGTGAAGTGGACTAATAGAAGCCAACAATCAACCATTTACCACTGAAACACCAAAAATATACTATGCAAAAAAATAAAAAAACTTCGGTCAAAACCCACTAACGACTTTTTTATTTCAATTTGCAGATTGTGTTTGTTGCTGTTTTGGCCGTAAGCGCCGCTGCCAAAAAGGAAGAAGGCGAAGAAAAGAAGCAAACCAAGCGCGGTCTTTTAGATCTTGGATACGGATACGGCCAAGAATCCCTTCTGGGCTCCTCCTATGAGCTCTCCTCGCCCTTGTTGAAGTCCTATGGAGCTCCAGCTCCACTCATCAAGAGCTACGGCGCCCCAGCTCTGAGCTACGCAGCCCCAGCTTTGAGCTACGCATCTCCAGCTCTGTCCATCGCAGCTCACGCTCCAGCAATCAGCTACGCCGCTCCCTCTCCCGTCTACACCAAAAGCATTGTAGCTCCAGCGCTGAGCTACTCCGCCCCTGCTCCCATCTACGCCAAAAGCTTGGCAGCGCCTGCCATCAGCTACGCAGCACCGGCTTTGAGCTACGCAGCGCCCGCTCCGATCTACAAGAGCTACGCCGCGCCCGCTCTGAGCTACTCAGCGCCCGCTCTGAGCTACTCAGCGCCCGCTTTGAGCTACTCAGCGCCAGTTTTGGCCAAGAGCTACGCAGCTCCTGCTCTCAGCTACGCCGCCCCTGCTTTGAGCTACTCATCTCCAGTGCTGTCCAAGACTTTGAGCTACAGCGCACCAGCTCCCATTTACGCTAAGAGCTACGGAGCTCCTCTGAGTCTAGGATATGGAGATGCTAAGCTCTGGTGAATTGATTGATAGGAATATTGCATCATAGATATATAAGGAAACTCTGTGTAACGGCCGGTTATTTATTTGTAATGTGATATTAAATAAACTTGATAGGAAATGAAGAATTTCGTGGGTTTTTTTCGATGATAAAGAGCTGGAGTTTGCGGTTTTACTGTCTAAAGAGCGATTTTTTTGAAACTTTTCTTTTGGGTAAACTGGAACATTTTTCCGCTCACAAAGCCCTGTTGACTCGAACTGTTCCAAAAATCTGAAGCTTAAATCAAAAGGCAAGATTTTCAATGAAATGCCAAAAAGTTAGGGAATTTTTTTATGTTTTGAAGCGCAAGTTTGGTGCTTTTTTTGTGAATTTTTAGTTTCGCGCTCTCTATTCGCCATTTTTGAAACATTTTTTCATCAGATTTATTCATGAACTTTGTGTGGATTTTGTATTAAAAACTTTAACTTAGTAAGTCAATGGAAAAGAAGGTATGAATAGGAGGAATTGGCATTTGGGCAACAAAACCCTTTATTTTCTGGCAAAAACTTGAGGAAAAACCGAGTTACTAATTTGCAGTTTCCCCCTTTTTTGTCTGCGACTGCTACTAAAGGTTTTTATGTACAATAATACACTATACAGGGTGGACAAAGTCCCAGTAGTCCGATGCCCTGGATAGTGTGGGATTCTTACCAACTAAAAAACGCCGGTTTTTAAAGTATACATTTTCGGGAGTTAAGCTTTGAAACTTACCGAAACTTTGCGACAAATTCTCTCCATATTAGCATCTGTACAACTTTCCTGGCATTATACAGAAGAAAACCCCAAGAACAAAAGCCATGCAACATAAACAAAGCATGCCGAATAGAACCCAACACAAACTAAAAACACGCTACAAACTAAGAACTAACAACAATCGAACACAGTCACGCATTCGATATCAAACCACAAATCACAAAACTCAATAAACTCAAACAAAAAATAGATAAATTAATATTTATCTTTGTAGCAAACCAGAAAGTCAAACGCATGTCAATCGTCAAAATAAGGCATAAGTAAGGTTAAAGATTGCCGCAAGCAGCGTTGCCGCTAACTATTAACTCCCAATTAGTCAACACCATGTGTGGTTTTTCCTCAATGGATCAGATAACGAAACCAAATCACTATTTTGGCATTACATGCTATAAATGTTACAACATGGCAACATAAGCTTTGGGATAATTCAACAAACATTGCAAAGAAAGAGACCGAAAGCTCTGAGAGAGAAAAACTCTGCTGGTTCATTTAAAACTTCAATTGGAATAAATACGGCTTTCAAAGTTGATGTGTTTGTATTTACTCGTTGCCATGGTACACATCTTGTATTCAAAGAGTCGACAAGCGATTGGTCGATCAGGTTTATGTGTATCCGGAAACACGTCACCAGGGATGGTTTCCAGGCAACGAAGGTTGTTGATTTCTTCGAAAGTGGAAAAGTACTGATTAAAAGTGGAGAAATTGACGAATGGGTGTGTGAAATTTTGATTTTTGGCCAAATTTTTCCAAGGGTGGGGGTCGAGTTTTTGAAAAAATGTAAATGTTCCCAAAATGTGCGCCAGAAAAGTAAGAAAATGTACGGAGTGTCTCAAAAAACGTTCCTGATAAGCTCGTGTTTTTTAACTAAAACACCCACAACAACACTGTAAGTTTAAGCACTGCCAAAAACTATGAATGAATCATATTTAATTCAACTTTTGAACAGCGCTAATGCTATTAAAATGTACAGGGTGTTTCATAAAAAAAATTCTTGCAACTTTTTTGAAAACCCGTATTTTTCTACTCATGTGACGTACGGTTCACGGATGATTATCGATTAAAAATGTGTTAAATTTTACAGATTGGCGAAACTTTACCATTTAAACCAAACCCATTAAAAGCACAGATTTTGCCATCTAACTCATAAGATTGGATTTCGCAATGAAAATCAGATGAATTTTTACAATTATTATTCCCAATCACTGCCTATACAGCATCGATCAACTGTAAGATCGCTATCTTAATTTACACTTTTCGTGTCAAAATCTACAGCGCTTAATCTCAAAGGCTTAACGTAACACTTTGCTGGGTATAATCAGTGATTTATTTGCAATATTGGCTCGAAATTGCGGGAAAATGTCTTTTGGAGTAAGAGAAGGTCTGAAAAAGGAGTGGAGGAAAATTCAACATTCACTTTGGCAAAAAATGTTTTTGGCATTATAAGCATCCAAATCCTCGTATGTAGATACAAGTGGGGCAACATTTCCGGGTCTCAATTTCCTCGTCAATAAGATCCTCGTTGATGATTTGTAATCTTCCTGATGGCTGCAAGAAAAAAATTGAAAATCCATTGAAAGAAAAAATATTTGAGAAAATAATGTACCGGAAAATGGGCAAGAAATGCAAACACAAGACGCAAACGAATGTAAATGATATATGAAATGTCTACCTTATGAACAAATGATAGTCTTCAACAAATAACTGATAAGCCAATAATATGGCAAAACACTTGATAAGCGGCAATTTATCATTAAAACAATGCATTAAAGGTATTTAACGGCAATCTAAAGTGTAAAAGGTAATTAAGTGAAATTCGAAAAACTCGTACTTACTTGATAGGAAAAAAGCAAATCTGCCTTATATTCCTTTTGAGTTATAATCGCTGAATCCTCCTCAATTCCGAACAGCAGAAAAATGACTAACATGGCCAGAAAACTCCTAGTTGAATAGATCATTTTGGAATCTTCCTTGCAAGGGTGTTAAAAAGTTGGTTTTTCGCAACTTTTTTCCCGAAATATTTCGATATCCAGCGGTAATTCGAATTCGAGTCGCACTATTGAGTATAAATTGCTTGTTTTATCGTGTCTATCGCAATTGAATTTTATGATTAAGAGATAATAAGGAATCAGACACATTTCAGCCAATAGACGTACTTTAGTTTCAGTACTCGATGAGCAAGTTTTTCGGATAGAATTTGCTGGAAAAACTCGCCGTTTTCAATTTAGTTGCTTGAGTTGGTTCACCCTGTAGGCACAGGGGAAGTACGTATTTACTATAAAATGTTAAATTGATCTAAATTATCAAATTGATTTTTTTTCTCCACGGATGCAAACTGGGATGTAAACGAAACTTGAAAAATAACGCCGAAACTTGATTCAAACAATTTAAAAATTGTTGAGGAAATTATTAAATAAAATATGCAATAAAAAGTTCTAAAAAATCGGCTGTAGAATGCTGCTGTAAAAACGCTTTTGGCAACCAAGAGTTTTTTAGATTTTTGTTGCAAAAATGTTTGTCCTGCAGTCAGTCAAAATCTTCCTTGAAATTTATTTTTTTAAAGATTTTTTTGAAAGATTTTTGAATGTTGCAATTTTTGCGATCTACTCAAATTCTTTTTCGCTGAAAGCTGAGAGGAAATTTTGCAATTAATCCGAGACAAGTTTTCATTTTACTAAACTGGCACTGCTCAAGACCTCTGATGGTAGACCACAAAAATCTTGGAAAAAAATGAAAAATTTGTATGGACAGTTTTTCAATCTGCGATTTTTTTGATCTGTTCAAATACGATTTTGCGTTGAAAATTGAAAATAGAATTAGCAACTAATCCAAGTCTGGTTTTCTTTTTACACAATTAGCACTGCTAAAATGCTGGACGCAAAAATAAGTTTCGGAAAAAAAACGAAAAATTTAACAAAATGCTCTTCTCATCAGCAAAAAGCTGCTTCATAGTCACGCAGTTAAAAAAAGGCAAAAATGTCTCAAATAATATATTTCCTAAGATCATCACAAATAACACAAAACACTGAACAAAGTATTTACAAACGACCAGAAGAAAACAAGCTTAGCTACATATGAAGGTTGCAGTTTTTTAACAAATTTACCAGCCATGACCATAAGCCAACTTCGGTCCGTAGCTGAGAAGAGGAGCTGATGCAATTAGGGGCTTGCCATAAATAGGAGCCGAGTTATAAATAGGGCCGGACAAGATGGATTTTCCATAGATGTGAGGGCCAATTCCTCTGGCAATCAACGGCCCAGTAATAAGAGGGGCGTAATTGTTGATCAATGGTACTGGAGGAGCTTCGAACACTCGGGTTACAACTGGAGCGGTGTGGATGATTGGGGTGGAGTAGCTCTTAGCCAAAAGAGGTCCTCCAATTAGAGCTGGGGAGTGTTCCAAGCCCAAGATGCCTCTCTTTTGCTTCACTGATGCCTCTTCTGCTGGCAGAGCAGCAGCCAGAGCCAGGAGAGCAGCACTGATGATCTGGAATCAATGTGTTAATTACCACTTGAAGTTAAAGACCCTTTAATGTGTGTTCTTATAGGTCGAACTGCATCAAAATTGTTACTTTATTTACGATAATAGCCCTAATCGGACACCCTGCATTGCAGTTTCACAAGAAGACAACTGTGTAAGGAATTCTAGATGTAATGCGTAATGTAAAATTACCAAAATGGGATCGGTATTACCACAGCTGAAGGAATGAGTTAAGTATGTTTAATTAATGGCTGGCGTCTTGCCTTAAGCGCGATAATGTTTCAAAAAAGCTGGCTTGGTATGCGGGTTTTTTCAGTCCGGTACTGATTTAAGCCAAGATTGCGCGAATGGTGCAATGGAAACTGCAGGCGCATTTATCACGAGGTTCTACTATGAATTATTCAGCCTTTAAACCACTCTTGGTAAGCCAAATAGCGCTTTTTGAATGTGATCGAAATTGAAATCCCGATCTAATTTAACTAAGAAAACTCATTTCTGCTTGTTTTTTAAACAAGAAAAATGCATCAAAGAACAGCGAACTGTTAGGAAAGTTAGGCTTTCGCGGCCTGACGTTTCGCAAGCACTAGTGATTTACATCTTCAGAAGTTTGGATCAAACGCGTCTTAGTTCAAATTTTACTTAGGTCAATTTGGTCTTTGGACCAATTGTCCAAAGAATGACTGCCAAAACAACTACTCATAGAAAAAATACTGAAAATCTTCCAATAGGGCGCACCAAATGAAAATTTCAGTTGCGAATTTTGGTTTATAACCGGCGAAAATTGGCTTATAGGCCTGCCCATCACCACGCGGTTTAGTCGTTTTGGGCCTACTATGAGGCTGTTCGCTCACCGGCCGTGGATTTTTCGACCCCAACTTCGCAAAAAAAACGTAAATTCGCACAGTTGCGAGTGCCACCTGAAGTGAACACTGCTCTGGGGACTTTGGCTAGAGGTGCTGGCGAAACGTCGGGACAAAAGTCTTATAGACCCGGTCTAATAACGCCCAAAATTAAATGTTAAAAGTTAAATGATCAATGTTTGCAGACAGAACAGATGTGAAGATGCTAGACACTCATGCTAACGAAACGTTTAGTGAAATTGTGGAGTTTTTTGGGCAATTAGGCGTCTTTTGTCGCTACGTTTAAAGCAGTATTTGAGTTGAAAAGTGGTTGGTTAAGCGATGAGCAAGGTTTGAAACATGATTTGTGTGAAGATGAGTGGTCGAATTTTCTAATGCTTCTAAATTGTAATAAAATAAAATTGAATAAAAGTCCCTAAAACAGCAATTAAAAGCATTTCAGGCTTAGTAACTCGTCTTTATTGCTAATTAATTTGAAGATTCGTGACTGGAAAGTGGGCAGCATGCAACAAACGGCAATAAAACATAACTGTTGCATGTGAATATTTTCGAACGCGCTTCTAGCGTTACGAGGTTGAAAAAGTCTAATTTATTTAAAACAAAATAAATAGTCTTCGTCGCAAGAAACACTTTTGTTTCGACTTTGATCAGAACTGAAAAATTTCGCAACGTTTTGGACGAATTTTCCATAGATTCCTCTAACTCAAACTTGAATAAAAATCACTCAAAGACTCAAAGAATCAAGCAAAAATTAATAAAATGAAAACTTACCAAAATTTTCATGTTGATTTCGATATTTCCAAAAAAATCGACTATTGACTGACAAAATGGCACAACTGAACCGAACTGATTCGAGGGATAAGCTGGATATCGAATGGTTGATTCCAAGTGGTGTTAAGCCAATTTATATACCGTACATGGTAGGGTAACGCAACGTCGCTTTGTAAAGAGATACATTTTTTCTTCATAAAACTAGATTTTCTGCAACGAATATAAGACAACGGATTGATGACGTGTTCGTTTTTAGTGCGGCGGCAAATGGCCAAACGGCAATGTTGGCATGTTTAAGCGAAAGCAAACATGCTTCAATGCTTGCAGTTTCATATAGTCATCGTTATCGATTAAGATTGACATTTTTTCCAAGTGCCTTCGGAATAAGAAACTTTGCTCGAAATTGGCCCAGTAATAAAATTACCTTTTTTCGCTGTTCATAATTTAATTGGCTATTTATTTACTGAAATTTCCATCCCAGAACGCTTTTTAAATATCCGGAAAAAGCGCCAAAAGTTAAGCCCCAACTTTTAACCAGTAACATAAACATTGCGGTGTTTCATAACATAAGATCATGCATTACATCCACTTGATGGCATTGTATACGTCGGTATACCGAGTGTTTTAAATTTGTCGTCTACTTTTACTTCTCTGTATCAAACTGCGATTCTATCGATAAGTCTATGTGCCCATAATGCAATTATCTACCAGGCCGCAGTGCCTACCTCGTAATAATAAGTCTTAAAATTTCGTTATTAATGATTTTAGTAGGTTTTGTTGCTGATTTTTTTGTGTCCAGCTATGTAGAAAATTAACCGACGGCAAAATAGCGCTAAGTCATTTAAAGCAGGCAATTAAAATTCCACGTAATTATTCCAGTTTTTGTATTGGCTTCAACATGCTACCGAATTGTTTAAATCAGGGGGCTTTTTGGGCTTTTTGCTAAATTTACTATTGCAGCTCTGGCAGCATGCAAAGAGCGATTTATTGTTAATTCTGTTTGTATTTGCAGCATATTTTCCTGAAGCATTTTCTTTGTTTCAATATTACTAGCAACTTCGACAATAGTTTTTCTGTATTGTTCATTATTATCAAAAGAGTTTGGCTTTCGCCAGCATTTCTTAAAACTAGTGGATTGAAAACTAGTGAAATTATCAGGAATTGCCGCTATCAATGCTGCAAAGTGCAATTTGGTCGTGCATTTTTCTGATTTTTTGCGAATTTTTAACCAGGATAGTGTTCTTGTGACTTTGCGTGAAACTCTGCGCAAAGTGAATTTTAATTGCTTTTTTCGAGCAAACTGAATAAGCTGGAAACCTGCTTGCTGTACCATTAGATAGCGCAAAAATGCCTCTGTTTGTGCTGCAAAACGCAGTTCGGTTCGCACGTTTTTCGGATTTTTTGCAATTTTTTAGGCACGCGATTGCATATTTAACTTGCCGCGAAAATCCTTGCAAAAGTGATTTTCAATCATTTTTTCCGGGCAAACCAATTGAGATTAAAAAGTGTTTGTGCCTCCACTGCTCCTATCCTTTGCGGGGTTCCTATAAACCCCGCAAAGTGGAGTTCAGTGGCGCGTTTTCAAATTTTTGTGTGAATTTTTAGTCAGGCGAGTGCAGTTGTGATTTTGCCCAAATCTTTTTGCAAAATCGTTTTTATCATTTTTTTTCGAGAAGCTCGAATGAGTTGGCAAAGTTGCTGTTGCACCATTATATAGCGCTTACTTGCCTCTATCAGCGACGCAAAGACCGGTTCAGCAGCGCGTTTTCCCGATTTTTTGCAAATTTTTAGTCGGGCAAGTGCACTTGTGATTTCCCGCGAAACCACTTGCAACGCGATTTTCAATAATTTTTCCCCAGCAAACCCAGTAAGCTGAAACA